TGAAAAAATTCCATTTAGATTTATTTAGTTCACCTACTGCTCGTATTCATGACTTTCTTCATTTAGATTTGAATCATAATCGAGGCGTCTCCAAGGTAAATACAAGAGACATGTCAACATGAGTATGTTATGTGTGTGTATCAAATTCTTTAACAAGCATAAATCAAACAATAGAGAGAAAAAAAAACGTTTTTATTACATGTGTATGATTTTTCTGTTGTCAAATTATGAAACAAATCAATCACATGGATATTTTACGCGGTCATTGTCAAGAAATTCCGGATGTCCGATCAAAAGTTGTACGCGTCTTTCTCAGTTCGACATTTTCAGGTTCAAAAATTACGCATACATGTGTAATAATTTAATAAAAACATTTTTTTTTCAGATACACTTGCCGAAAGAGATTCATTGATTGACACTGTCTTTCCGAAACTAAAAGATTATTGTCGGGAAAAATATGGCCTTGAATTTCAAGTTTGTATTTTGAATAATGAATGTTACAATTCATTTAGAGATTGTGTATTATAGTATGCCGATATGCGATGGGGTATTCAAAATGAATCAAGTAACAATCATAGTGAAGTTCAAACATGTCTTCATGAAATTGAAATGTGCAAAAAATATTCGGTGGCGACAAATTTTATTGTAACCTAAAATAAATTTATTCAAAATCATTTCATTTTTTCTATCTGCATTTATTTTTCTTTTTCTTTTTAATACAGGTTTTACTAAGTCATCGTTATGGTTCTCGACCAACACCGGCAACAATTCGTGCAACACTTTTTGATCTATTGTTCCCCATTATTCGTTCAGATTTAAATGATAATAACGATGCTCAATTACTTTCTCAATGGTATCAACTTGATACGAATCGAATACCAGCTGTTTACGTACTTCGTTCGATATCATCGATTCTACCAAAGATAGAGTCTTCAGTAAAAAAAAATTGAACGAGATATTGACTTATGTTATCGTTATTTTCTCAATTTAGAATACAAAAGAAATGAAACAAGCCGAAAAAGAATGGAAATTAATTAATAATCGTATTCGAAATTGTCTTCGTCAAGCAGCGACAAAATGTTTTGAGCAAAAACAAATTACACAGGATGAATACGATGATTTTTTTATATCGAGTAAACACATGAAATTTAAATTCAAGTCAAAGATTGTTCTTCTCTTTATTGTTAATTCTAGTCACTGAGAAAGAAATTGTTAAAGGTATTCTAACAACATCAGATGCCAATCAACGTACATTATGTTTTTTACGTGAAATTGAAAATATTCACGAACATTTATTCGATAGTAAAATATCAAAATACATCGATATGTGTCATTCAAGAACAGGTGAATTAATAATCGATAGTGAAGCTGAAAATTTACTTCAAAATTTAAAAAAATCTCGTATACCAAGTAAATTACAATCATCGAATATATTCTCCTATCAAGTGCATTGGACATCAAATGGAATAAATCGACACGATCATGCAACATATATTGCTCAATTTAATGATGATTTTTATCATGCAGTTAAACAACAAATTGATCAATGTGTTAAATCTCGAATTTTATTTGATTCAGATCCATTACAACATGAAATATTAGAACATGCAATTCAATGTAAAACATATGTAAATAAATTTCACGGTCGTATCGATATACTTAATCAAGTAAGCATTGGATTGATCAAAGTATTCAATTTTATTTTCTCTTTCTTTTTCTTTCTAGTTTAAAGAATATGTTATGAATGAGAATGAAAATCGTTTTTGTATTGCATATGGTGATTCTGGATTTGGCAAAACAAGTTTATTGGCTAAAATTGCAATTGACGTATGTATAGTTTAAATTTTACAGTTCGATATGAAACGGAGATGAAAATTTAAAATATAATGGAACCATTTAAATTGCACATGAAGATACCCATTTTTTATTGATTATAATCTGTCATTCAGTGATAGAAGCCAAGATATCTCAGGAATATGATAACAGCTAAAGAATCAGATGATGAGAGTAAAACGAAATTGTTGAAGCGTAGAGTTTCAAAACCTAGAGATTCGTTGAATATCTGAAAGTCCTAGATCATGACATCGAAAATATTTTATTGGCTTGTCTGTCGTGGATTATGAAATAACCCTAAAAGAACAAATTTACGGTCATGATAATAACATACTTCGGAAAGATTCATATGAAAATTTAAACGCTCTCGAAAACTTGTTTTCAAAGTAATCACAAAAGAATAAGTTGATAGATTTGACTTTTTCACGAATGAACACTAATTATTTTTGAAACACTAGAATATATTATTATCGAAAATAATTAAAATAGTAGTTGATTTTGTTTTTAAATTGTATCAATCTAGATTAAACAAAATAATATATTTGAATTACTCGATTCAGTTATTAATATTATTATCAATGTCGCTTGAATTCAGAAAGAAATTTAAGACTTCTTGAGATATTTTGCGTCATGGATCGTTTTTTTTTTCTCAATCGAACAGTTCAGAAATTACAGAATAATAGTTAATTCATTCATTGGTAATTTTAAATTCCATGGTTCACAAAATTTATTTATGATTGGTTTCTAATGATTAGGTATTGAAATGGTGGTCTAATCGATCTGTTTCAGTGATTTTACGTTTTCTCGGGTATGTTGAACTTAGATTGAATGAATATTTTCAAGTGAATAAATTTGTAGAACAACACCTCAATCATCTACAATGTACAAAACACTTCTATCAATATCTCAACAAATATGTCAATTATATAATTTATCCATGGATACTTATTCAGATATTCTTCAATTACGATATCAATTAGAAACAAATTTATTTTTGAAAATACCTGAAAATGAATATCTTCTTATTGTAATTGATTCAATCGATCAACTTGAATCCGATGCATATGACTGTCAATGGTTACCAAAATTATTTCCGAAAAATATCAAATGTATTGTTTCTACTTTACCTGAACATGGTGGTATACTTTCATCTTTAAAATCGTTAATCGGTTATTATCGATTAGAAATTAAACAAACACAACATTTACTTATTTTAATTCCATCATTTGAATCATCAACAGTAGAAATTATTTATAATGATTGGCTTCAATTAAAACAACGTTCATTAAGTCATGAACAACGTACATTTATTCGTCAATGGATGGAAGAACAAACAAAAATAGTTCCTCTATTGATGAAACTAATGTTTGATATTTTATGTACATGGCATTCATATGATACAATTGATAATCAATTGAAAACATGTCGTACTGTCGATGATTGTATTCGATATCTATTCAATCATCTACAAACTAAACATAATAGTGTTTTGTTTCGTCGTGCACTTTGTTATATGACTGCTTGTCGTAGTGGTATTAGTCAAAATGAATTAGAGGATGTACTCTCACTCGATGATGATGTTCTCAAAAGTATTTTTGAACATTATATTCCACCAATACAACGTTTACCAGGCATTTTATGGACAAGAATAAGGAATGATCTAGATGAATATCTAACGGAAAAAGAAATCGATGATTCATCGGTTATCTACTGGTAAGATTATTGAAAGAAAAGAAATACAAGAAAATTTTGTTTAGCTTCTATAACTAACTTTTACATCAGCTTATTTAAGAGAAAGAAGCCTGCCTACATAATAGGAAGCACTTTAATATAATCTATATTTTAATCTATTTTCATACAAGTTATTATAATTAAGAATGATTAGAAAAAGAACTAAACTCTTTCTGAAAATAAATAATTGACTTAGAATTAATAACACATACTGAACTATTTGTGACTTATATGTTACAGTTCTAGATGAACATAGATATTAAATTTTTAGAAGAAATTTCTTTTCTTCAAACATTCATATCACTTAGACTAGTGATGCTATACTGACATCAATCTGTTTAAATAAAAAATTGTAGTTTGAAATCTGCCAACTTATAATAACAAATATTTTTACGGATTCAATGTATCAATTTTTATCTATCATCATAGACTGGATGATCATGTAAACTCTGTATGATCACTGAAGACAAAACTCGTAATCAAGATTATTCAAGGACCTGTCACCAGCCCTTTTATTGCTTCCTCATCAGTGGCCATACTCAAATCGGGATTAGAAAATTCATTGAAGTTGTTAACTAAAGCAATATCATAAAACAGACAGCCCCTGAGTAACTTTTCCTAACGGTAAATTGTCAACTCATCGCCATTGACAGATTTAAGTTGGCATCATTTATATTAAGTTTTTCTAGCTGACTGAATAGATCGTAGTGCCTAACAACAGTTTATTCTAGTAGCGCATTACAGTGAATCTAAGGATTTCGACACCGAACGTATGTAGACCTTATTCATACTCAAGTGATTACGTATGATTCCGTAAGTGATTTTTTAATGAGAAAATCGAATTAGTTAGTCATCCAACGCAATATATTTGTGGCTCTTCATCGATAGTTAAATGCTGACTACTTTCAAGTGCATCTTTGAGAACTTGTGTTGAATGATTGAGTTTAGCCATCGGCTTTCTACTAGAAAAAAATTCCTGTAAACGTAATCAAGCTCCGCATGATATTGCAATCTTTTTGAATAAGGACTTTATCACTATTCGATTTTAAACATTCAATACATCGGAAGCTAGTGAAAAGCGAATCTTTTTTGTGAAATATGCTTGAAAATGAGTGTTGAAGGTTTAGACCGAGGAATTTGTACCCCACAGACCAGGATAGGCATATCGAAATCTATTTTATAAGTTTTCAACCAGCAAAAAATAATAAAAACGAATATGGCGTTTTTTGTATGCAAAATTCAAATGATATCTTTTGATTACTTTTTTTGAACATTTTGAGAAAAAAAAAAAACAAAGTTTAACTTGCCAATTCTGAACGTTAGATTGAAAATGTTTTGTTACTAATTTTGGAAATGTTTAGGTATCATCGTCGCTTTATCGATGTTGTCAATAAAGAATATCTTTCTCAATTAGATGAAACAGAAAAAGAAATCATTTTCGGCAATATGATCGATTTATATAATGAAACTTGGAAAGAAAAAAATAAACCATTCAAAATTGACAATCCAAAATTGATTGATAAATATCATTTAATAGAATCGAATGGAGAAATTCCAGGTAATCGATTGATAACTTCACAACCGATTGAATTTATTAATGTCAATGGTAAAATTCAATACAATAAACGAAAATTAAATGAATTACCACAATTCTTATGTAAATTATCACCAAATTTAGCTATACCAATCGTAGTCACAGAAGTCTTTTTCAATTATTCGTTCATGCGTAAGATAATTTTAATTAAAATTTATGCGAGAAAGTAAACAAAGCCATTGCTAAACTTTATTCAAGAGAATCAAAAAATGAAATTTATCTGTAAGAAAATGTCGTATAAATAAAATTATAATATTTTGCTTACATAGATAAACTATCGAAACGAGAATAATTAATCATGATTGCTTTCCGTTTGAAATTGTTTCTAAAGAGGCTGTACATAGTTTAGGAAGACAAAAGAAACAGCATCATTTCTATTAAAGATCGTTCAATAAAATTCTCTTTTGTTTACTTGGTCAATGAATCGATATAGAGAATGTTCAATATGAAACTGACCTAGATTGTTAATTAAATGTGCTAGTATACATTAAAATGAAAAACTTAGAAACCTGCTTGTCTTTTTTTAAAAATAAAAATGAGAGAAAATTTATAATGAAATCCTTGTGAGACTTCCGTAAAACAAAATTCAATAGCACTATTTAAACTATTCAAAATAATATTTGTACTTTTGATGAAAAACTTATTCCAAACTGAACCGGTCCGTTGAGGAAATTTCTAAACCAATGAATATTAAGTATTTGATCATTGGAATAGACAAAATACAAACTTAAAAAATTCTATCGGCATCCAATAGAAACTGATATTGTATTCACAATCATGTGACGATACGGGTTCCAACTCTAATTCATAATGAGATCAAAGAAGTAGCATGTCGAAGTTTCTATCACAGTTTGTAACGAAACTAAGAAGTCTGTATTGTATTTTTATGAAGTTGACGATGTAAAATTGGTAAATAGTGATATCTTTTACTTGTCTATCGAGCAGATCGATAAATTTTTACTTGTTTTAATATATAGGTAAAAATTTATGAAAGTACTTAGTTAAAGAAAATGAATGAATAAATTTTGTGATATAAAGTTTTCTTTGTTAATGCGTGGAATAATTTCGTTTGATGAAAAGACAAATTTAATATTGTTTTTCTTGGTCATTTTTCAAATTTTTTTTTGTTTCTTTTTATACATATAGATGCCAAAATTCAATGTTCAGATTACAATGATATTACTATTTTAATGCAACATTTCAAAGATATTTCGAAAAACAAATTATCGAATGAAGTTATCAATATGAGAAATGAAATCAATATATTATTTATGATTTATATGATGATTGGCCATCTACTACAAGAATATCCGAACAATTATGTATTTGAATTTTCATCGCGTCTTCTTAGTTTATTCGGTATTAAATCAAATATAACTCGTTTAATCAAACAATTCGATAAAGAAAGTATTCAGCATTGTTCTCTAATTGTACCTTATTGTCAAATGCGACCACCAGGTAGTGGTTTAGTCTATTCAATGAATAAACATACAACACCTGTAATCGATCTCGTTTTAACATATGATCAAATGGCAGCTATATCTCTATCGGATCGAATTGTTGTTATTGATATGACATCTGGACATACATCATTCGATGTTAAATTACCTAAATTAAATGAACCCTATTTAAATATAACGACATTAACAAATATCTATCAATTCGATGAAAATGAACAACAATATTATTTTTTTGTTAATTCATTTCATCATATTTATTTCTTATCTGCATATGATGAAATTAAATTTGAACAAATGTCAAATGTTGGCTATGAAACAGTAGAAATTCTTGATTATAAACATGGACTTTGTATTATAAAAGAAATGAATAGTAATTTGATTGAATGTTGGGATCTTGTAAATAATCGACTATTTAGTCGAATTGATTCAATTTCATCCGTAATTAAAAAAATTCTCTGTATTAATACATATTTAATGCTTGTCATTATTTGTCAAGATGGATTTGTTCATTTTTATTCGATTACTAATCTCACACAAATATCTTTCGTTTATCGTTCTTCCATTCATATTGGACAACATTTCAATTCGATCATTGTTAGTGGACGAAATTTGATTTATACATTTGATGAAACAATATCTGTTGATTTTGTTCATATCGATTTGAAAATAATTTATGAAAGTAAAGCAATTGTATCTGACGATGATATTATTAAAACATTGGTTAATTTTGATGTACCCATTGAACCGAAACCAATCGAACGTATTCTATTACCTGACAAAGAACAAATGAGTTATGATTTGAATAAAATCAATTCTTTACTATTTGTGGCTATGACAACGAATTCTTTGTATGTTATTCATGAATGTGAAGAAAATAATATATCCTATGCGCGTATCAACGGTCATTTTGATATTGTTTCAATGCATGAAAATAATCGAAATATTGTATACACGGCTCGTGGAGGTATCATAGATATTTACGTTTGGGCTTGTGAAAATACTCAAGACATTAGAAATGAGAAATGTCATTATTTACATACATATGAATTGTATGCTTCGATTGATATAAGTTCATCGTCTGTAACTCGAATCAAACCAATTGTTGCGTTAGGTTTGTATTTATTATATTCAATAGTACAATATTCAATGCCAAATATATCATCTATCAATTTTTAGAACCTCTTTTCTTATGTTCGATGGAAAACGGAGTTATTCATATGTATCAAACTGCACAAATACGTGAAACATATGAAATTATGCCACCATTTCCACGTACAAATAATGTAATTGAAACTATGAAACTTTACGATACAATTGCAGTAACACTTGATAGTCAAAAACGGTAATTAAGTTCTCATTTTTCGAATTGAAATAAAGATGCAAAATTGAAAATAGATATTCTAAATGTAGCATTCCTATCGATAAAATGTAATTATATTTTTCAAAATTTGTCAAACAGAAAAAAAAATTGCTGTTCTAAAAATTATTCAAAATTATCGTATTAAGAATTATATTTATAAAAAGAAAGAGTTGATGAATGTATTATTTTAGCTGAACGATTGTTCTATTTTTGAATGATATTCAAAGCGATTACTGTAGTTATTTAGACAAAGAACTTGAATAGAACGAAAGGATCAATGAACATACTACATATAGAAATAAAAATCTTTCTAAAAGAAAATCTTCTTTATCCAAGTTTTGAGCAAATATCTTGATTATATTATTAACTAGAATAATTACAAGTCCAAAAAAGATATTTGTACAAAATTTCATTAATTTTGTTATTGTAACAGTTTTGAATAGTTTTAAAATCGGTAGTTCAAACACATACCAACTCCAAGCGATAAGACCTACTCAAAAGCTTTACTTTTCAGAATTTGTTCACAGTTCATCGTGTCTAGAAAATAAAAATACTTTAATCCTGTCAGGCTTTCCAGTGAACTGTGCTGCAATGGTTTAAAATAAAAGTTTTTTTTACGCAAAACTTCACCAATAGAAATGATTTACATCACATTCTTACTCGTTTTTATTTGATAAGAGCCTATGTAGATCTGATAAAAATCATTGTTTACTGATTGATATGCGAAACAAAATCTGTGTACTAAATTTAGAGAATTAACAATCTGGTCATACCAACATTCAACATCAATCGAATCAACACGTCTCTTTTCGGATTCTTTGATTGTCAATGATTTCTTTCTTGCATCGAACAAATTCAATTCGAACATGGTTTTTGTACTTACTATTATAAATAATCATCGAATAGAGATTTATTTATGTCAATCACTTCATTATGAACCGATTTTCTCAGTTCAGTTTGACTCGTCAATTCGAGTTCATTCTATCAGGAATAACGATTTTCTTATCTTGACTAGCAATGTTCATTATGTTCAATTATTCAAGAGTCGAATTCTGATCAAGTCATCGAATTCAAACAGACAAACGATATAGAATTGAAAATACCATGTGCAATGATGCTCAGTACAATTGTTACATTGGATCCAAGAGAACATCTTGTTGTATTTGCGGACAATTTACAAACAATAGTTCTCTGGTTCGATAGACATTTATTAATCTATATTGATATTAATCAAAAACAATATTTCTCATCAACATATTTGAAATGTATTTCCACTGAACAACATCAAAATTCGATTGTATTACATTTTGATAATGGATCTCTTGTATTATGTCAAATCGAATTAGATAAATCCAAGAAAAATGGATCAGTCAACATAATTCCATTGGATTCAGTTGATCTATTTTGTTTCAAACAGAATTGTTTAGCAACAATGAATAACGAACAAAATCGAATCAATTTATATAATATTCATTTACAAGTATCCTATAAATCGATTGAATTAGAGAATGAATGTGAACAGATATGTTTACATAAATCAGCTATGTATATTTTTATTCTAATCAAACCTCGTATTCTGAACATGTATCGTATTGATGATGGTCAACAAATGGCTAAATTATTTCTCTATGATTTTGTTTCATCAATGAAAGTCAACAATGATTTTATTGTTTTAGCTATGAATGATCGACGTTTATTGACATTAATGATTGCTGATCCAAATGATCCGAATATACAAGAAAAAATTCAAGCGTTACCTAGCCGGTAAATTCTTATTTCTATCAGTAAGATCTGAAGAAAGTTGTTGAATCAAATTTTTTCAGCAGTATCTTGGGAACATGGATTTCAACGTTTTCGTTCTGGATAAAAAAAACTCAGAGATTTTCCTTACCGAGATGAAACATAATCAGACTTTTTGTATGAATCCAGGTTAAGCACATTTAATCACCTATCAATTTTAAGCACACTTCCTAGTACTTAGCAGCATCCATTTTTATTAGAAAATAGCAAACAAGAGCACATTGATTCAACTAGAGTCTTCTAGGGTTATGTTTAGTAAGATCGCGTATATCTGTGTACTACATCATTATGGAACCACATGCTGCTAAGTATTATGAAGTGTATCGAATATTAAGAGGTGATTAATTGTAGTTAATTTGGGCCTGGACCAAACTTCCATTACGAAAACCCCTTCAGTTAAAATTCATATAACCATTTGATTCGGTTCTTCATGGTGTCAAATGAATATTCTGAACGAAAAACGATTCTGTATAAAATTTTTTTTAAGTTCATAGGAATAGCATATAGAAAAGCGAAGTCAAAACAATGTGAAGAAGATTAATTAAAACGTGAGATGAGTTGTGCTTGCCCATCTCTGGTTTTTGAGAGCATTCAAAAAGAATAATTAATAGATCCATTATTTGTTTGACCAGCTTTCATTTGATTAAAAAAATATTGTCAACGTAATCCCTATTGGGTTTAAAATGTGAAGCCCACATATAATGACTCTCAATACGATAGAACAGACTTTACAGATACGGAAGTCTTTTACAAATAAAAAAAAGGTTGAAACTAAACGCGCCTATCATTCTATTTCATACCAATATTTTCTACATTTTTGATTTTTCTATCATTTACCACTATGTTGCTACTGATCATTTTCTGTTTCATTGTATTTTTCGTTAGTCATTCATTGTTTTGTTTTGATTTCATGCTCACATTCATATTCTGTCACTTAGCGTTGAAATATGCGATCTACTTTCTAGTTATTTCTCTCGACTTAGAAGATAGCGCTATTCTCTTATCTCGTGTCGATGCTTGTTTCTGTTCGCTCAATGACACTGTTTCATAATGGCACTTGTCATTCTTTTGAAAGTATATTAAAAAGATGTTAATAATTGATCTTGTTGTCTATTACTTTATTTAATAAATGTGCAGCTTCAATCATTAGAATCCCGATCATTTTGACATGTTCTAGAATACTTTGTGAATTCTGACTACCGATAAATGACGAATCAGTCACCATTGACAAATAGAGGCAAGGAAAATTTGTGATACCGAAAAAACGTTTCTACTGATCTTTAGTTTTTCATACTTTTTGCAGCGTATTAACATGAATGTGGTATAATACTGTTAGTTATTGACTCCCACACCATAAGCTGAAATGTAGCTTATAAATAAAAATAAAACAAAGTTCCTATGGAAATTTGAAACTTTAAGACTCAAAAAAGTCTAAAATAATCTTATTTTCTTTCAAAATAGCATCTTGAGCATAGTTTATTGAAAACTAGATTGATTTTCGAATATTGATGAATGTTCTTCTCTGGATTGAATTCAGTTCAATTTCTTAGCCTATTTTATTTCTAAATATAGTAGCCATAACTTATCAGAATACTTAAGTGAAGCGTAGAGAATTAGAACTTAAAGTGTTTAATTTCATGCCCTCATTAAAGATGATTGTCTTTAGAAATTCTTATAATTGTATCATAAATAAAAACTTCATTTAGCTTAATTCTGTATGAATATTTTGATTGTCTTTGAAGAAATGAACGACTAGAAGTTCAATCAGCAACAATCAAACTCGTACAACATATCGAGAAGTGTGCTGATATGAATTTGAACGATGACAATGCTACTACTCAAAGCAATGGTGGTAATCAAACAGATAATGATGATGATGCTAGGAACGCCAGCCATAGACGCCGCTATAGTTACTTTTGTTATGTTGAAAATCTTTATGAACCACATTATCCAGAAATAATGGATGATGCTACAAATATAGATCCGGATTTTATGGCAAAATTTTCGAATAACCGAGAGTTTACCGATAAGGAACCGTTTGGTCATGATTTGGACATAGAAGATCATCATAACGATGGTACTGTTGAATGTACTGATTTGTCTTCGACAACAGTCGAGCAACAACAGACTGACAGTGATCTAGATGATATTCGTCAAAAATCGTTCGAATACGAACAAAAACAATTGAAAGGTGTTCAATTGGCCAATGCAGGCAAAGAAAATTTAAAAATTATTAATAGTTATTCGGTTACTTCGACAACGTGTAATCTTCTTTGATTATATTATATTTATTTTGTCGTTGTAACTGAACACCCATAATTTCCTGTTATGTTAATAGTTATACCCTAGAGAAATTACTAAGTTCAGGTACCCATGTACTTAACAAGTCTCAGCAAAGTGCTCGGTGTAGGTACTTCGAAAATTCTCAGTAATTATACTGATGTAGGTACTGTCTATGATACCCATACCAGCAAGGTTACTGAACAAGTACTTGTATAAGTACCTGCACCTGTAATTTTACTGAGGAAAGCCCACCAGGGTATCCTAAATTTCTTTATGTAACACATATATTAAAAAAAGCACATGAATGTGCTTCAGTAAAAAATTGATGCTATAAATGTAAAACCACTCAGTACAGTTCATATAAATGTTTTCAAACTTTTGCTTTTTTAAACAATAAATACAGAAATCAAAATAGTAGAGACAATTTGATGGCGATTGATGAATTTTTCTTCAAAGAGGCAATTGATGTGTATAAACAGAGAAATGATCAACTATTAAGTTTATAATAACTTTGTTGAATGAGAGAGGAATGGAATTTTAAAAGCTTATAAATCAAAATTAATGCAATTAAATCGTGCCAACAGGTAAAACATTTTATCATTTTTTTCGTGACAACTATATTTCTGTTTTTGATCACCTGTTCTTGTCGTCTTGATCAAATAATCATATTTTGATTTTATACCAGATCCATTCTAATGGTTATTGAAAAAGGTTTCACTGCTTATTGCTGATAAGATTTTTTGCCTATTTCGTATTGTCCTATTTTTTATTATATAGAGATGAACTCAAACTGACTGACTTAGCTAATCAACCAATAACATTCTGATTAAAGCTTGAAACTACTATTATTTTTTGTTAAGTTTGTGTTGTAAGTTATTTTGCTTTTACTGTTAATTTTTTTCGAACTTGTAATACAATAGGTGTAATTTTGTATTTATTCAATAAAGATTTTTTTTTTATTGTTGATATTATATTATTTTTTTTTATCTTATATAATCTGCATGTCTCAAAATTACAGATGTATTTTTATTTCAATAATAATTCTTTTATATTAATCCTGAAAGAAGTGACATTATCGATTTCCTTTATATAAAGAAAATTCGATAACAAATCATTAGATACATATTTTTGGGAAATATTAGTCTAGAACAGCTCAACATGAAAAAAATCAAAGGTCAGATTCGTTCCTGAACGTACTGGAATTTTGGAAGCAGGGTACCTAGAAATATTGTTCAACAGTACCCAACTGAATATCTTATCAGTATCTTGAAGTACCCATTTACTAAACATTTTGTAGCAGGATACCCGCCAAAGTGTCCCATAAGTATCTAAAAGTACTTGAGTACCCAAAAGTTCCTGTAACGTACTAGTAACAGGGTACTTTTTCGGGTACCCTTAACTAAGTACAATCTCTAGGGTAGATTGTTGTATTGAAAAAAACAATTATAAAACTTGTCTGTTATTTATAGTTTGACTTGCTTTCATTAAGATTTTTTTTATAAAAAAATAATCAATTTATTAAATCAAGGATGTGAGTATGGACAGAAGTAAAGTAAAGACATCCATATCACTTACACCGACATCTGTTTCTAGCAGATGTTTGTCAGTAATTAAACTTAAAACATTATGATATGATGATAAGTTCTCTTTCTAAATTATGACTAAAATATTCATTTTTTGGAAATTCCAATCAAGTAAAAATAGTGAATTATAATAGTGGAAGTAAGTTTATATTATTCTTAATCGACACAAATCATTGAACATGTATAGTTCGATTGTTGTTTTGTAAATGAATTCATATGAATGATTGGATTTTGTAATGATATTCTACTCAAAATATCTTGTTGCTATCAATAATCAAATATGGATTCGATATTGCGTTCTATGGATATTGAATTCATGAGATGAGCTGTTTTATTGAAGCGCTTGGATTAACTTTTATTCTGAGACATGAAAATGAAAAAACACATGTTACTTTCGCCTTCCTTTTTTTTCGAATTTCAACATTCTCAACGTTCAATCTTTCAATTATTTTGCTTTTATTACTGTGACAATCCTCGATTTGTCTTCCTCCAAAATCAAATCTGTACCGAAACTCATTTTACATATTCTTTGTCAATGAACCTCTAGTGATTTATCTCATGCTGTGTTAAGTTCTTGGCGAAATACAGATAACACTCTTGTTCATAGTGTTAGCTATCTTTTTATGACTGTATGAAAGTTTATTCTATAGACTATTTATTCCATTCGATTAACCAAACGGACTCATATGGATAGACGATTTATTCAACATTCAAGTTATTAATGGAGTCGATAACACAATGGTGCTCCGAATCCTGTCAAGTAACCTAAACTAATGTCAATTTTAGTTTTGACTAAGAAAGTTATCGACATTTGTTCAACTAGAAATTTCATTCGTCTGTGTTTTTCTCTTATCTAAAAAATATTCTACATTAGATTTAATCTTTCTAATATATTTTAGACTATAAAAAGTTGCTCAAGAAAATGTGAATTTGATAGTTTTGGTTCATTAGAAACTGCTTTGATACATTTTTGATCACAGATAGATAACTGGTTCATCGTCACCGTTCATGTTAGTAAGTAGTTCATTTTTCTCAGTAAGTAGTTCTCTTGGTGTGCCATATTTTGCAACGATACCATCATTCATAATAACAATTTTATCACTATCAATTCCTGTATTCAGACGATGTGCAATAGTTAATTCAGTATGATTCGTCATTTTTTTGCGTAAAATTTGTTGAATTAATTCATCAGTTTTTGTATCAACATGTGCTGTTGCTTCATCGATTAGTAAAATTTTACTTGGTTTTAAAATTGCTCTTGCTACACATATTAGTTGACATTCGGCAACGCTAAAATGACTTCCATATTCTGACATTTGTGTGTTTAGTTTATCTTTTAAATTTTGAATCTTTGTTTTTAATTGAACAGCTTCTAAGGCGTTCCATAATTGCTCATCAGTATAATGATTGAATGAATCTAAATTATATCTTAATGTATTACTAAATAATACAGGAGATTGCGGAATGATATTTAAATTTGATCGTAAATCATTTAAACTAATTCTACTAATATCAACTTCATCAATTAATATGTTGCCATATGTTGTTGATTTATCAGTAAATCGGAAGAGTGCTTGAAAAATAGACGATTTACTAGCACCTGTACGTCCAATGATACCGATTTTATTGTGTGGTTCAATTTTTAAATTGATACCTTTTAATAAAGATTCGAGTTCTGAACGATAGCTTAGTTTATAATGATCGAATTCAATTCTTCCTTCGATAGGCCAATTAGATGGTGGTTCTAACTCTTCTTTGTAAAAACCAGGCTCTGGTGGAATATGAAAGTATTCATCGATTCTCTCTGCACTAATCATATGGTTTTCAGTTTCAGCCGACTGACGTATTCCTCCTTGAAAGAGATCCAATAAGTTTATAGCATATGCTAAACCCAATGCTACAGACGAAGCATCCATATTCTGATGTAAGAATACCGATAAAATTGCTGTCAAAAATGTTATGCAACAAGTCATTAGATCTAATCTTAAACCAAATCATCTACTCAAGGAAATGAATAGGAAAAGTGCACGCGTATTTGCACTAACTTTGTCAATAAATGAATTAAGAAAATCATTTTCTATTTTGAATGTTCTAATAGTCATTAGTCCACTTAATGATGAAGAAAATAATGCATAAATAGGACTTCGACTTACACTTTCTAAACGTTTAATTTCTCTACTTATTCTTACATAGATTCTTCTTAACCAAAGAAGTATTGGGATAATGATTACCAATATCAATAATACCCATGGGTTTGAGATATCAATAATAGCAATACTACCTAATACCATGATTAGTGATTGAATTGTATCAAAAAATGATACTGGTAATAATTCATCGATAACTTGTTGATCTTTACTAAATCTATTTAAGATACGACCAACTGGGTTACTTTCATAAAATCTCAATGAACTGTATAAAACACCTTTGAACATACAGTTGTGAAATACAGATGCTCCACGTAATATAATGTGGAAAAAAATAATCAGCGCGAAGTATGGCCATTAGCCATGTGGATATTATCAGACCTAAGTACACATATATATACTAACTTTTGCGTTGCTCTACTTCCAACTTTGATAACCATATACTTAACCATTTGTTAGTTACATCATAAAGATCTTGACCCAACAACATTAAAAAAATCAATAATATGCATTCAGCCCAGCCATAACTAGCAGTAAATAATTTAAACCAAACATAGGTACTAACTTTTCCGCCAATAGATGTTTCTTCTATGACAATACTACTTTTATTAACAGTTTCCGATGGCTTCATAGAATCATCATCATCATCATCATCACAAACATTATTATGATTTTGTCTACGACTTTTTCCTGTTTCGTTTGTATGTTTTAGATGATTTTCGTAGCATTGCTTAACTTTAGCTATTGTTAGTAATTCATGAAATAAACCTTGTTTCTCTATTTGACCATGATCTAATAAAATACAATGATCAAATTCGGATAAAAATTGTATTTGATGTGTAACTAATAAGCGTGTTTTATCATTTAACATACTTTCATTACTAATGCATTGTTGGAAAATTTTTCTAGCAACTGTAGAATCAACAGCTGCTAGTGGATCATCAAACAAATAAATATCAGCGTCGGTGTATAAAGTTCGAGCAAGTGAGACACGAGCTTTTTGTCCTCCACTCAAATTTACTTCTTTTTCTCCTATGACTGTTGAATCACCAGCTGGGAATGATTGTAAATCAGTTATTAAACAAATGCTAGCAACACACGTCCATATTTTTCTTGATCAAAGCCTTTACACAACTATATGTTTTCACGTATCGTACCAGCAAATATCCATGGTGTTTGAGATGCATATGCAATTTTACTATATATCTTACTACTACCTTCAACAAGAGACATTTCATCGAGTATTGATGCCAACAGAGATGATTTACACGAGCCTGTTGCTCCTACAACACCAACGAATGAACCAGCATACAAATTCAAATCAATTTCAATTAGTTGAGTCGATTGAATAGAATTCCATGTGAATGACGCTCAATCCATTACTATACTACCTGATATACGTTTAGACATGTCTGTAGAATGCTCTTCTAATGTTTTTGCATGGGTCTGTTTCCATAAATTCATGAATCGATTAATACGTTTTGATGCTATTAGACTGTCACTAAATTTCTCAATAGCAGAAAGTAAGCCAGCAGCGACTTGGTTTCTAAGTATACCAAACAATGATAATATTGCAAATATATTCGCACTAGACAATGTCTGGCCCATTAACCAGTTTCTACCAAACGTAGCCAATGAAACTAATCATACTGATGAAAAATAAATGGCCATATTAATTGCTCGAATTCGATTCGCTTTTCGAATACTTTTAAATTCTTTTTTTCTTGTGTTATGTATAACTGTCTCCAGCGCTTCTTTTCATCGGTAAATTTTAACAATTTGCCCACCAACCAATATTTCATTGGTTAATTTTACACATTCATCAGTCCAACGCATGGTATTTTTTCTGTATGCTCGAAATTTTTTACTGAAAAACAATTGTAATGGTACTTGTAGTAACAATACACCGTAGCCGAACAAGGTCGGAATACCAATTTCGTTCCAAATTATACCAAAGACAATAAGTACTTCGACTGGTGTCGCCCATAAATGATGAATAAATTTGTATAGTTCTTCAAATTTACTGACATCAGTTGAAATTAAATTCACCATTTGACCTGTTGTTGTTGTTTTGATAATTGCTCTTGTTGGCAACGATACTAATCTTTTATAAATAAGAGATGAAAGTGCAACCCGTATTTGAATTCCAATTCGTGCTGAACGAAAAAAAAATGGTGATGCATCAATGCTTGAAAACTTCATGAAAGTTCTAATCCAATGGCATATAAATAGCCCATATATGAAGCTCTATTTGAATCGTTGATTATAAAAACGATTTCTTTTATAAGTAAAGGCTAAGCTATCTTTGCACCAAGATATGGAAACATCAATGGACCAAGTCTTAAACTCTCTTTTCACCACGCTTTTGCAACTATTTTCCCTGTGTTAATGTCTTCATATTTATTTTCAAATTTTTCCCATACTGTTTCAAGTTTCTTTAATAACTGACTACATGTATCATTTAGCGATACATCAAATAAATTATCGTCAGTTAATTTCCGTTTAGCACCAATATTCAAAATTGGATTTAACTACCAAAAAAACAGAAGATAAATCCATCGTATCCAAGACGGTTCAGTCCAATCTAATCCACAAGGTTTTCGATGAGTACAAGACATGATGACAGAAAAATCATTCTTATCTGTTGTTGTTGCCGCTGTCTCATGATTGGCTATAGGTAGATTATCGTCATTGGTTATGCGTTTGTTTATTAGAAGGTAAAACTAGCACCTACAATATATCAATAATTACAATAGTATTAATTCAGATGTACTAAATAATCCATAAAAATCTTTGTGATTCTTATTTCAGAACAGAACAAGAGAGAGCTGAAACAAAGATAATTCAGTAAATCTCAGAACGGGGATGATTTGTAGGAAAATCTGTCATATTCAACAAAATAGAAAAAAACTGTATGCATCATGTATGGGCACTTTGAAGGAGACTCGTTGCATACAGGAACAAGGGAGATTACAAAGGACTGTGTTCTCAAAGATTTTTTCATGATATCGGATAAGTCTTTAAACGAAATATGTACTAATTAATAGAACATGACGCGTTGAACGAAACTCCAGTACGTTAATATCCAATAAATAGACAACGTTGCTTCGGTTTCTTCCAATAAAAACAAAACCAAAGAAAAAGAACTCTAAAAATATCATGCTCGAAAAAAAAGATGCAGAACGACCAACACAATCGATTACCGACACAGTATAATTTATCTCTTAAGTGTTTTACTGCTTGGAATGTCGGTGGTAAAGATAAAAGCAAGATACTACCTCCAAACAAAAATGACTATTGATCAGAGAAATAAAGAGCCACTTAGACAAAGTACAGAGAATAGAGCGAAAGATGTTCGGACAACTGTTAGAGGAGCGCATGTTCGAGAATCAAAGTACACATTGAGTTGACTTTGGTAAAAAGTCGAACATGAATCGTATACCTTTTATATACCAAATCGTTCTATTTTCTTGGACTATAAAATTGCAATAAGAAATGAATGACAAGTCAAGAGTATTTTTATATTACTAGTCGATTCGCATGTATTACAAAATAAAAGAAACATGAAAAACAGTACAACTAATCCAACAAACAACTTGATTGATGCAATGATCAATCAGCTTCAAATTGATCAAATGAACCTGGCAGATGAAGAACAAACATATCTGAACTAAAGACCGAATCGAACCGAGTTTTACTGGTTCGAGTCCGGTTGAGTTCATTATCAGTTCCTGATAGACGTTGCACTTTTCTCTCAATTTATTCTAAACTCAAATTCTTGCAAATTTAAATTTATTTTAATTTTAAATTTTTTAGAACCTATTTCTTGATTTAAGGAATTTTTGTAAATCTAAATTTATTAATCCGATTGTCAAAATACATGAGTTAAAAAAATAGATTAGAAATATGGAGAGAAAATGATATTATACGTTAAAATCCGATCATCGCTGTGAGGTGTAATCCTCCCGTGTAATATACGATAACAATAACGACTAGAATAATATCCCGTTTTTTTCCCTTTATTGCAATCGTTCATCTCCTATATATATTTGAAACAAATGTAAAAGATCATAGAAGGGAATATTCCATAGGTGATGATACACGCGAAGGGAAAAATCACCTGTGAAAATCAAGAGAAATGAATGTTTATTGAAAGTGAATGTTCACATCGTGTTATTAAAAAAAAAGAAATTGGTCTTTAGTAGTGTTATTAATGATTTTTCATTCAAAGGATTCAGTGATTGTCTTTTACACACGTAAACCCTTCATAGCCATTGTTGACAATCTCTTGGCACTTTTGTCTATACACATTCAAACCGCCTGCATATGGCATAAAGACTCTGGGTTTACCATCGATATTCGCTCCAACGTACCATGAGTTAGCCAGAGGAAAGAGCGTTGCATTGGCGATTTCATTAACATGAAGAACCCATGCATTTTCTGCTTCTACTTGCGGTTCGATCGTATCGTAATGATGCATACGAAGATAGTTGAGACATTCGACTATCCAATCGACATGTTGCTCAATAGAAGGAAGCATATTCGTTAGTACCGATGGGCTACCAGGACCAGTGATGATGAAGAGATTCGGAAAATCGGCCATCATCAAACCGAGATAGGTGCGAGGACCTTCTGCCCATTTGTCTTGAAGTGTTTTGCCAGAACGACCATGAATATCAATTTGAAGCAAAGCTCCAGTCATCGCATCAAATCCTGTCGCAAACACAATATCATCCACTTCGTAGACTTTCTCTTTGATACGAATGCCATTGGGTGTTATTTCATCGATCGGTCCGTTTCGAAGATCAACTAACGTGACATTGTCGCGATTAAAAGCCTGAAAGTAGTTGGTGTCGACACACAGACGCTTGGTACCTATCGGATAATTCTGTGGAATCAAAACCTCAGCTACCTCGGGATTTTTGACAGTTTCACGGATCTTAGTGCGTACGAATTCAGCTGCTGCATCATTGGATTCCTTGTTGATAAAGAGATCATTGAAACTCAATAAAAAATCAAGACCACCATTTTGCCAACTTCTCTCCAACTCATGTTGGCGTTCCTCTGGCGTTACAGTCATTGCTGAAATATTCTTTTTGTCTTTGAGTATGAATCCAAAGGGTGCTTCGGAGATCTGCCGCCGATACTCTGCATAATTCGATTTCCACCATTGTTCATATTCGGCTTTGAGAAGTCCATTGCGAGATGGAATACTGAAATTTGGTGTTCGTTGAAATACAAAGACATGATCTGCTTGTTCAGCAATGACTGGAATCGATTGTATGCCAGAGGAGCCGGTGCCAATGACGGCCACACGACGTCCATTAAAGCAAATATTCATATGTGGCCATCGACCTGTATGATAGTGTTGACCGTTGAAAATATCAAGTCCTTTGATTTGTGGAACGCGAGCTGTTGAGAGACAACCAGTGGCCATTATGCAAAAATTGGCGAAAAGTCTATCTTCTCGATTTGTTTGTACTTCCCAACGTGAATGCGCCTCATCGAAATAGACTGTATCCACTCGAGTACCGAGTTGAATATCCTTACGAAGATCAAATTTATCAACAACATAATTGAGATAACGCAAGATCTCTGACTGAGATGAAAATATTTCCGACCATTTCCATTCTTGTTGTAATTCTTCTGAGAATGAATAGGAGTACTGCATACTTTCAATGTCACAACGTGCACCTGGATAACGATTCCAATACCATGTACCACCAATACCATCACCGGCCTCAAGAATCTTTGCGGAAAAACCATATTTACGTAAGCGGTACAACATGTAAATTCCTGAGAAGCCAGCACCCACGATTACTGCGTCCAGCATCTTGGGTAATATTTCGCCACTATTCATGCCTATTTCTGTGTTCTTTATGCCAACAATACAAGTCGATGTAGTAATAGAGAGTAAAACTGCCACGAAGCGATGTAGTAATAAAGAATAAAACTACCACAAGCTAGTATATATATTCTATCCTTATCAAGCAAAGAATAGAAACGAAAGGCTCGAATGATAAGAACAAAAATATCATGGAGAAAAAAACTCAATAATAAATGGTGCTGTGTATGAGAGTAGAATGTCATCATGTTCTAAAACAGTTCGTATAAAATAGACTGGTAGCATCACATAATACAGAAAATTTCTAACAAGAATGCATGAATTTCATTCTCGTACTGGCTCATAATCATCAAGAATAAAGCACTATAGTATTATAACAAAATGTTCTTTTTCAAATTACGACGAACTCAATTAGCAATTCATGCTAAAGTTGAACCATATGTGTTACAATAGGAAGAACGTGAAATTAACTTCACAGAATTATTCTCACAAAACATTGTTGATTAGCTGATGACGTGTCGAATGCTATACACAAAATTACGTTTTCGTCAAAATTTAGTACTATGAACCTTTGCATAACAGTTGAGGGGCATTACAGTATTCTTGAAGATCATGAGCTCAGCATTAAATATTTCAATCTTTATTGGATTATTATCAATGAAATTTATCATAAAAATTATAGAGAAAAAGAATAATTATTTATAACAGAAAAGAAAGAATACACTGGTGGTTCTCGTTGTTTTTGTTTTTCTTGACATATGCGTACATATATAGAAAAAAAGAAAGATAAGCATCGAGTATATTCTTTTTTTTCTGCTATATAAATACAATTTTCTTCTCTAATTTTTTATCATAAGTTTCATTGATGATAATCAAATAACAATCGAAATATTTAGGTAAATTTCTACTGTATCATATTGAGAAATAGCTACGTTTTATGAACAATGACCTGATATGAAAAGGTCATTGACCTTGACAGTTAAGTTAGCCCGCTAACTTTTGAAGAGTTCTTTCTAAAACTGATTTCTGTAAAGCTTAGAATGCTGTTGAACCTTGTATACTTATTAAATCTCATCATGGCTTCGTTTTTTCCCAAAACCGACCATCATGATCGTTGTCGTTCAATTTTTGGTTTTAATTCAACACCATAACTTTTGCATTCTACTTCCTAGAGCTGAAAGCAATAAGGAACATCTCTCTACCAACAAAAAAAACTAAAAATGGCGATGAAATACCAACCACTATCGATCACTAACGATAAGAAGTTTTATCGATTTGAATGAACTTTGAGTAGCATTTCAGGCCTATTTTCTTCTCAATTGCACGTGTATGGTCATTTTATTCGAGTAAAGTTCATTAATATAGTTGAATTAGTAAAAATAAACAAATTCTTTGAATCGATTATAAAAAAGACTCAATAGGAAACAGTGAACAATAAAAATGATGTCGTTTCATTTTATTCTCGATGAGGAAATAAAAGTTATTAATTCAATATCTTGCCATTTTTATCAAGGGTATATGACACTACACCGTAAACTAGAAAATGCATTATAGACTATAAAAGAAGATATTCTAGGAGTGCCTATATGTATTCGTGAATGAATTTCTCCTTTCTTGAAAATACAATATTCAAAAAGATAGAAATAAGAAACTCGATTTTCTAATTAGAAAATCGAAAGTGAATACATATAGACACTTGTAGAAATTCGTATTTTATTTATCAATTTGAACATTTTCTAGAAATTTGAAATTCAATTTTGAATTTGAAATTACTTTTACTAATTTTATACAATACTTTAATTTAATTTTTACTTTAATTTGAATTTGAATAAGTTTATAAACATTGAACTTCATTAAGGCATCACATAAAATAAATAATTCAATTTTACATTTAATTTTCATCTAAACAATTTCATAAGCATTAAACTCATATAAATGCATCAAATAAAATAAATAATTTATTTAATTTTAATTGCAATAAAATCATAGACATTCAATTCATATAAATCCACCGAACAAAATATATAAATAAATAAATAATTATAATTTAACCCTGAAAAGCCGAAGTGGCTTCCGCTTATAAAAATGAGAATTTAATTAGAAAAACAGAGATTATGGACCCTCAGTATACTCGTACTACAGTTAAAAATAATTACCCTCTTCTTATTCTGGACCTACACAACCTCCTTTGGCAGGAATAGCCATCCCTGTAAAAATTCGAAAAAATAGGAATTTCGATCTGAAACTTTGCCTTTAGATAGTTTTGATAATACTTAATATGCTCCGAAATTTTCATATAGAACAGATGCTTTCTTGCTGAGATATTCGAAATCCAAAAACCAGCTAAATTTTGCTAAAAATTGCTAAAAACTTCAATATTCTGTATCTCGCGAAAGAAACAACAGTTGTTCCTGAAAATTTTGAAACTTCCTAAACACTACTGGGGCTATGTATGAGCCAAGTTTCATGTTAGAAATACATTGTTTTGATTTTTCTATGAGGCTGAATGTCGCACCGAAGGAATTTTTTATTGATCACGGCACAATCTGTCAGTAGATCGGTTAAAAGATTCTAGAACGCTGACATTGAATAGCTTGGTGATAAGCTTAAGAGTGTAACGTAAAATAAACTACACTGTATGTCGCATCTCCGAATAGATACAACTTTAGGGAGGAAAGGTGTTACTGAAAAAAGTCATCAGACCAAAAAGGTGTTTTGCTACGCCTGGCAGCCACCTGAATACTACATTTTGGTCTAGGTATGGCCTCGAAAGTCATATCAATCCAGAAAAATATTGGTTTTTGTCTACAACATTTTTATAAGACTTTGATTACAATTATTTAAATGTCCCTTGGAAGGGACATTCGGCTCTTAAGGGTTAAATACATTCAAAATAGATTGACTCACGTGGCAAGTGAAAAATTAGTTTATCAATTCACTATAGCTGCCGGAGACAATAATGAATACATAACACTATCGGCCTGACTTATATACATGAATGAGCAATGACTCTATAGCGGTCATTGTTCAAATGGTTTTCCAGAATGTTGTTTTCATTTTTGACTTTATCTAGAATTTATATTGATTTTCTAATTCTTTTGAAAATCATTTTTTAGAAAATCAAATTGAATTTCTATTATATAGAAAACCAAGAATTTTGTGAGCATTCAAAATTCGATGAATGAATAATGAAAGTTTGAAAATGCTTTAGCTTACTTAAAGTCTATTGTCTACAAAATAGAATTTTAAAAAAGATTACAGTGTAGTAGCATAATCATATAAAAACAAGATATCCGTCAATGAAAACAGCGATTCTTTGGGATCAAATAGACATGCACCAAACCCAAACGGTTTGGGTTTGATGGTTTGGGTTTGGGTATTGAGTTTGAGTTTGGGTTTGGGTTTCGGTATTGAGTTTGGGTTTGGGTTTGGGTTTGATGGTTTGGGTTTGGGTATTGAGTTTGAGTTTGGGTTTGGGTTTCGGTATTGAGTTTGGGTTTGGGTTTGGGTTTGGGTTTGGGTAAGGTTTGTGTATGAGTTTGGATTCAAATTTGATTATGGCCCATGTATCTAACCTTTTCATATACGACTGTTGATCAAACTCAAACTCATACCCAAACCCAAACCTAAACCCAAACTCAATACCCAAACCCAAACTCAATACCCAAATCCAAACGCAAACCCAACCGCAATACCCAAACCCAAGCCCAAACCCAAACTCAATACCCAAACCCAAACCCAAACCCAACTTCAATACCCAAACCCAAACCCCAAACAGTTTGGGTTTGGGTTTGGTGCATGTCTATGATCAAATCTCATCATTTAATGAATTCCAAATCTTTCATCACTATTTAGCACCAGATCCAAATTCATTTTCGATTACTTACTTGACGTCTTCATGATTTAATAAAAAATGTTCAATTTTTTCGAAATCGAAAGAGATTGTATGGAACGATGATGAATTATAATGACCATCATACACATAAGCTCTAGTGACATGGACCGAAACATGAAATCCTTACTAGCTAGTAGAATCACACAAATGACAGGTGTTCTGAAAGATTCATTTTTGGATTTAGTAAATGGCGTCAGATGACTCTTTATAAAAAAATGCTACTAAGAGAAACTGTTTTGGCCTTCCTAGGGGTTAGAACACTAATGCCTCAGTGTGCTCTGTATTGATGACAGTCTCTGGTTCACAAAGATTGAAATCGTCCCATTTAAAGAGAAAACACGAAAATAATAATTTTAACCTTCAATCATTTCTGTTTCAACAAGAATACACTATTTTTGAAATTCTTTTCAGTGAAATCTCACTAACTCCCGAAAATCACGATCTTCTATAGCACAAGATGAAACATAACTTGAATTACTTGATAACGATGGTCTTCAGTGTATATTTATTGTTTTTAATGGTTTATCAGGAATACAGGAGGATCTAAGCAAGAATAAACGTCATCTAAATCTCTTTCTACTTAAAAAAATGACTGTATCGAATTGATCATATTTTGAAAGTAAACTAATTAACTTCACTATTTCTTTGTCGTGTTTTAACTACTTTTGTAATGTAAGGGTGTTGGTGTGGGTGTTGAGTGTTAGTGTTAGTGTTGTTGTCAATCACGCCCACACCATCCACATCCTCCAATTGATGGTGCGATCGAGAAAATAACGACGGATCCAAGATCGATTATCGCAGTCAGTCGAATATGTTGGTCGAACAAGATAATTGATCCAATCCACATCAAAGATTTCAAATCGTTCTCGATCATTTAGAACTGTCAGATCGACGACGATTTTCTTCGAGAGAGACAAAGAAACAAACTCTTTTTATCAACAATCTTAATTGAGGCAGCAATGAATCAATGCATTCGATCGACTGGAATTCCTTTTTTAAACGAAGTGAAGGTCTGATTGACATTGTCCCATTAAATTATCAATGATCC